TTTTTTTTTTTTTTTTTTTTTTTATTTGCTTTTAGATATTCTCATTATGAAATCCATATAAATCCTCAAATGTTCTAATTTATTGATTTGATAAAATGCTTCATAAATGCTTCAAAATAAGAGCTTCAGTAAAAAATAACATTTCAGATTTAGTCCACTGGTGAATTGTTCTGTTTTTAAAAGATGCTGAGGGCCCCCCATGTTGTCCATGAGGGCCCCTTGGTGCCAAACGGGCACCACGTTGGTGACCCCTGCACTAGGCTAATATCTGTTGATGTCATTTTTTAGCTCATTTCTTGTTGATTAGCCCTTTTTCCTCGCTTGCTCTTTTTGTTCACTTATCATTTCTCTTCACATGCATTTGCATTCAAGCTCACATGTTCTCATTGTTTACTGGTAGTTTATTCTGTTGTTCTGCTCTTTATTCTGTTTACCTGCCATTTTCTACTATACGCAGCAGCTTCAGCAGTTGTCCCATAATTTGTTCCTCCCAGGAATTATTTAGTCAATTTCTCTAATTATAATCTTGATTTAATCTTATTCTGAAATGTTAATCTATTAAATTTCATACTTTTTTTTTTCTTGCCTCGGCCTTTTCTAGTTTCTAACCTAAAGAGAGTCGTTTATATAGTGTCCAATGGCAACATTATAGTATTTAATGTTTGTGTTTCCCTTGAACAAAGGAGGAAGAGCTTATTATGAAAGATTCCATAGAGAACTCTATATCCTTATTTAACACAAAAAAGTAGCATGGATAACCCTCAGTCACCGCACCAATCACACAATCCACTTAGTGATAATCATCTGAGGTGTGTTGGGATCAACTGACACCAATAACGCAGCAAATAACCAGGATGAGGAAAAGAAAACAATCCCAGCCCAGTCCTCACTCGATAAAACTGCCTGGATCTCAATCATCTGATAAAACTAAACTAAACAATAAGACATGAATAAGAGACTAGCTTCTTTCTGCAAACATCCACAGTATTCTCCTCCCTGTGAATCGTTACAATGGCGACATCAAACAAACAGCAGCATCTCTCTCTAATCCTACAGCCCCGGATTTGTTTAGTTAATGCTAAGACCCTTTTGACCTATTTCTGTCACCTCCAGCAAGTCCACGCTCAAGACTTCTGAACAAAACCACGGTGCACGACGGCGGCCGAGGAGTCTACACCATAAAAACGAGATCATCTATGTGCAAACTCTGCTCGGTGAACACTGACAGACACAATGCCTCAGACAATTAAAACATACACACGCGCGAACGCAGGGCCTTAATCCTGGAGGGAAATGTCGAACAATGTCTAAGTGGATTACTGGAGGGATTTCGTTTGACTATGAATTCAAAATCTAAGGCTAAAGCAAAGAATGTCTCATTCTTAACAATGTAATTACATTAAAATGTGCTACGCTTCATCAAATACTGTGTTATACTCTGTGTTCGAGGTGTCACCGAATCAATAAAGGCATTGTATTTAATAAGATGCGTGTCTGACGGTGATGGCGATAAAACAGTTTTTAAAAACCCCTGTGAGAGAGATTACAGCGCAAATATCTGAAGTGGTGACTATTTATAGCTTTGTTGTGACCCTGCACATAACATGAGGCCAAGCAGAATGCAGCATTAAGGTTATAATAACAGAGATGCTTCACAAGTTGGATTTAGGTGTGAACTCACATAAGCTTGAAAGGGATGAGTTTGACAAAATAAAACAGAAGAGAGCTGAAAAAAACAAGCCGCTCAAAACATCTCAACCTAATAGGAGTCAGGGGTAGAGCATTAAAACAAAGACTCACATTGTCTGCCTTCAATTGGATGTGCAGAAGTGATGCCTTCAAGTATCTCTTTTACTTAAACTCAGGATTACTATAGTCAGAAACTATATAAAGAAGAAGATTTGACCTCCAGTCATGGAGGCCGATGATTTACACAAACTGACCTTGTGTGAGAGAATTTCCTGCTCCTCTTCTTTGGTTCTGGTGCCTTTGAAATGAATGGCCCTTTTAGTTTGAAGTCTGCGGTCAGTGTTTGCTCCCTTTGTTTTGCAGTGATCCACAGAGTGGACAGATGGCTCCCTCTGCCCTCAGACCGGCTGGAGCAAAGGCAGGCTTTGCTGTTAGTCCCTCAGCTTAGCCCAAGATAAGCCCTTACGCAGGGCAAGTGGGCCCGCATCTCTCGCCTAATTCCCCCTGTCACAGCCACCAAGGAGGCGTTCCTCTGAACCAAGATCCACAAGCAAAGGAGGCCTGGTGGCAGGGCAGGGCAGGGTAAGGAGGCTCGCTGCCTGGACGCTGTCCAGCACAGATAGAGCGAGCTACACTTACAGCAGCATAAAGAAAAACGCCAGCATATCAAGCATTTCGCAGTCATCAACAGAGAGAGACAGTGTATAGATTCCTTGTTAACCAATACGTCTTTATGACCAACGACTCGGCATGACTGCTGAGTCTTTCATTAGATTCTCAGAAAGCTTCCTGCCTGCTTAAAAATAAACCTCTTTCTTTAAACAAGGAATCTAACCGATTGAGATCTGCAGACAACAATGCAGCATCTGAGGTATTTAGTGGTGTTAAGCATTATGTCTTCATGGGGTGCCCCCAGCCTCTGCCCTACACCCACAACAAGCCCTTGTGGCCTCCCTAATGAGGCCAAACTGGATACAATAAAACCATTCTGCCCAGAAAAAAAAAATGTATTCATCTGGGCTCTGAAACTGTGCAGGAAATGAATCAGTGAAGCAGAAGTGGCATATTTAATTATCATTCAGCGTGTCACTCCAAGACAATACTGGCCTCATAGCTTGCCTAGCAAATATCTACGAACAAATCACGTTCACTTCACATCAAGTATGCCTCGTGTACGTCTACCTGAGTTCAGAGTTTTATTAATCCTCCTGAAATGATCATAAAATAATATAATGCATAGGTGTTTATACTATTAATAAAATCTGGTCAGACATTTATAGGATAAATCAGTCCTCTGTCATTTAGTGCTATTTAAAAACAGTTTATCTCTGATTCTTTCTTGTATTTTTTAAAGATAGTTGCGTGTTAGTTGTACATCATAAAACAAAATCTCCAATTGTTCATAAAACACAGCGCCTTTTTAAACTATTCACACCCTGTGTGCTATAGATGGACCGATCCATCAGCCGTTGGATATTTTGGGCTGATATCTGCCTTTATTTTGGTAATACTTTGCATGCCTTTGCTAATTCATTGTTGCAATCATCAGCAATGAATTGAGGTAATGTGAAAGATATCCATTCATTTGCTATACACCAGTAATTCTATTCAATTCAGTTTATTTATATAGCGTCAATTCACAACCTATGTCATCTCAAGAAACTTTACAGAGACAATTCATTCAGATCATACAGTGTAGCCTGGTCCCCCTACGACCACGTGATCCAAATGAGCCAATGAGCTGTCAGTCTGGGTTGCTGCTGCTGCTACTTTAAAGGAATAGTACACCCAAAACATGATTAGCCTTCATTTTCTACTCACCCCCATGCTGAACAACACTCTGGAGTACTTTTTTGATATCTCA